CGTTAATGAAGGAAAAATGTCAAAAGAAAGGCTGTGGTCTTGGAGGACAGTTGCACCCTGGATGACAGAGGGGAGCTTGAACTGGCAGAGGCTTGGGTGGGTGGAGACTGGAAGTGGTGCCTGCACAAGAGTCTGGCAGAGGGTACGTGCCTGGGGCTGACCCTGGGCCCTCTCCCAACTAGCTGTCTGCCACGGAGGGTGTCTGTGACAGCTCGGAAGATGGGACACCTTGTTCTAACTGGTCCCCCTGGAGAAGCTGAGTTTTTGTGATTTGCACAAAGTCCCAAGCTAGTGTTGGCCCTGGAGGAGCCTGTAAAGAAACCCTTGCCCCTCTGAGGGTCACCACCTGAACCCCTCCCTGGATAACAATGCTTATCTCTCTCTCTCTCTTTTTTTGTTGTTGAGGGACAGAAGCCTACTTGGCAGGTGAAGGGTAAGGGAAAGATTTTCTGTGTTGAGTTAGAATTCATACCTTTGACAAATCCTCTTAACTCTCATCCTTCCTTGATGGTTAAATGAAGTGTCAGGTGGGCTCTCTCTTCGAAAAGAGCACAGATTGTCATCTTTCCTGAGATGGTTTCAGTGAGGCTAGGCTTGACTTTTTTTATTTTTTGTTAAAGTTTTATTTATTTAAATAACCTCTACAGCCAACATGGGGCTTGAACTCATGACCCTGAGATCAAGAGTCCCAAGCTCCTTCAACTCAACCAGCCAAGTGCCCCAGAGGCTAGGCTTGACTTTATTTTTAAAAAATTTTTTTTTAATGTTTATTTATTTTTTGAGACAGAGACAGACAGAGCATGAATGGGGGAGGGTCAGAGAGAGGGAGACACAGAATCTGAAACAGGCTCCAGGCTCTGAGCTGTCAGCACAGAGCCCGACGCGGGGCTCGAACCCATGGAGTGTGAGATCATGACTTGAGCCTAAGTCGGCCACTTAACTGACTGAGCCACCCAGGCGCCCCTAGGCTTGACTTTAAAGAGATATACTTCATGTCTCTTACAACCATCCATTATGATGTGATTCTAGGATTTAAAATTTACATATACTGAATATTCATATATGCAATCAGCTTTGATTATTCTGGGGCAGAGTGTGTATATTGATTGGGTTAGTGGCCCATTCACAATCACTTTTGATTTCAAGTTCTTGTTAAGATAATCACAGACTCTGCTTAATTAATTCCTTTGTTGAAATTATTACTGTCGGTGTTTATTCCTACATGGGAGTTAATGCAAGAATGCTTTTCTCATGCAAAACAGTGCTTTCCCCCATCCTTTCTCTGATTGCCATTTCAGGAAGAAAGAAGGCGTATAAGACCTGTATGTCTTAGTCTAACAGGGATGCTGTTTGTGAGAGGCACACGATGCAGTGGAAAGCAGACAGATGAGGTGTCGTTCGTTTAACAAATATTTATTGAGTGCAACTAATCCAGTACTGAGCTATGTGTGCTGAATTCAAATCCTAGCTCTGTCACTTACTAGCTCTAGGACCTAGGGTGACAAACTATCTCAGTTTCCCCAGGACTGTCAGGAAAACTGGAATAGTTACTTGCTATGTCACTTGCCTTTATCTGTAAAATCAGGAAATTGATTCTTTTTTATATCATGAGTTTAGTGTGAGGCTCAAATGAGATAATGTGAAAGAACACTGTGAGTTGCGAACTGCCATATGAATATAAAGTACCATTTGCTTTTTTAACCCGAGGTATGTGTAGTGAAAGGCTTGGATCTAGAACTGGAGTTTTACTCTGGGGCTCAGGCAGGTACTGAGGGGTGGGGGAACCCCTGACTCATCAGCTACTGGGATACATTTCCATCTGACCACAAAGTTTGGTGCCCAAGGGTGCTGGCAATATTACATCAGAGTCCTGCAGGTAAATTGTAGAGAGGTCCAAAGAAAGAGGTAATGGGCTTCTGTGTGTTCTCAAGGGCATCTATCTGCAGGTAGGTGTCAGGGAACCACTATAGGGCTACGAGTCTGGGAATCTCCGTGGGAGGGGATTAGTAAGAGCAGCCCAGGTGGTCCAATAGAGGGACCTGGGGTGCTGGGTAGGTACCTACAACATGAACGGGGTTGAAATAGGGCCAAAATGGCACCAAAGCAACGCCCTGTTATCAGACAAGACTAAAGGTTGGAGATGGACATTTAGTCAGGATGACTCAAAGGCTGGGCCACAGAACGTCAGACTGGAGCTGGAAGTAGGAAGAAAATTCTGGGGAAGGAATGGAGGTAGAAAAGAGGACTTTACAGCTCTGCTGGGGCAGATCTCTGCATGGATTTACTTTTTTTTTTTTTTTTTTTTAAAATTTGTTTTTACACAGAGGCTAACAATCCCAACACTTTCTTAATTCACACTACTCTTTTTTTTTTTTTTTGTAAACAGTCTCCTCATTACCTTTCTGCTTAATTTTTCTGGTGTTTAATACATTTTCATAAGTGCTTATCATGTGCCAGATCTTGGGGATGTTCACAAACACCTGTCACATGCTGTATCATGGTAGTGTGTTCTTGTGAGGTAGGTATCATTTCCTCCGTTCTACAGACAGGGAAATGAGGCTCAGAGAGATCAGCTAACTAGCGTCAGTGTATACTCATAGAGGTAGGATTTGAACTCCATTCTCCTTTACTCAAAAGCCTGTAGTAATTCCATTCTTGGATCCAGCTTCTGGATTTGAGCCCTCAAAGACTTAGTTCATGCATCACTCTTTAAGCGTCTTAGCTCTTCAGCACCTTGGGTTACTGGTTTTTCTTACAAGCATATATTGTCTTCTTCCTTTTCCTAGCCCACCATGACTGAACTTTTTCACTTGGGTCCAAATCATCATCAGATCAGAATGGACTTTTTTTTTTCTTTTTTCTTTTTTTTTTTTTAACATTTATTTATTTTTTGGGACAGAGAGAGACAGAGCATGAACGGGGGAGGGGCAGAGAGAGGGAGACACAGAATCGGAAACAGGCTCCAGGCTCTGAGCCATCAGCCCAGAGCCCGACGCGGGGCTCGAACTCCCGGACCGCGAGATCGTGACCTGGCTGAAGTCGGACGCTTAACCGACTGCGCCACCCAGGCGCCCCCAGAATGGACTTTTAATTAGTGCCACTCATGGTACCGGTCTGTAAACTGCTGGTTTCAGGTCCACAAAGATAAGGCACTTGAGCCAGAATGGAAAACGTAAAACAACTACCTCACCAAACACACTTGTTTCTCTTTAAAGCAAGGCTTTCTTGATGAAGGAAGAACTGCCTTGGGTTTACTTTCTAGCAAAAGTTCTTATCTCATAGTGGATCGCTAAAAACAGGTGGAAGACTGACTCTCATCCAGACAGTGGCACTGGTCCAAGTACAGCACTTTGAAGAACATCACCTAGTTACCATCACGTCTCCTCCCTCGCGGCTGTCAACTCTGGATTGTTGCAACAGTCTCTTGGATGGTCTCCCCGCTTGTAGCTGTTTTCTCCCATGCATTCTCCACTCCTCTGCCGGAGAAATCTTCTTATTTATTTATTTGTTTGTTTACTTTTGAGAGAGTACAAGCAGGGGAGGGGCAGAGAGAGAGGGAAAGAAAGAATCCCAAGCAAGCTCTGCACGGTCAGCGCAGAACCCGATGTGGGGCTCCAGTGCAGAACCCGATGTGGGGCTCCAGCCCAGGAACTGTTGAGACCATGACCCAAGCCGGAATCAGATGCTTAACCGACTGAATCGCCCAGGCACTCCAGAGAAATCTTTCTAACTTGTAAATCTGTTTGCGACATTAGCTTCCATAAAACCCTTCAATGATTCCCACTGTCTCTTGATAAAGCCCAAGCTTCACGTGGGACCCGAAGCTCTTTGTGGCCTTGCTCCGTGTACCCTCACCAGCTTTCCTGCCTGCTGCTTAGGTCCCAGTTTGATAGAATTATATGTAGTTCTCCAAATAGGCCGCATGCTCACTTCACGATTTTGTACATGCTGTTCTGTCAGCCCCTGTTGATCTCCTTTCCCTCATTAGCCTGTCACACGTGCACACACTGTCTCTGCGTGGTCAAAAGCCACAACAGCCACATGGAACTTCACAGAGGGTATGGGAATAGAGAGATTTTGTTTCAATTTTAGGATTTGACCAGGAGGAGAGGAACAGGGAAGGCTAGACTGGGAGTATGCAGGATGACTTAGGGAGATATTCTAGAAGGCTGCTGCTGAACAGGAAGTGATAATGACCTGCCAGTGGAGCAAGGAAATGCTACAGTAAGATTTCCAACAAAACTAGGTGGGTACTCACTGGCAGTAAGTCACAGGTAGAGGGATTAATTTTTTCAAAAAAGGGGATGCAGTATAGTAAACAAAGACAGTTCCTACAGAGAAGTTCCCTTGGGATGTTCTGGAAGTGGCCAAGCAGCTCGTAAGAAAGACTTCTCTCCTTTGGCTGTCAAAGCACCCATGACTCTGAATAGCTTCCAAGCGTGATGTTTAGGCAAGGAATGGCTGCTGTTATCTTGGCAGAATGGTGGTGAGCTTGGCAAGCTAGTGGCGGAAGCAGTTAAACTTTATCCATTCTGTCCTCCCACACACTCAGCGTGGAGGCTGTGGACGGCGAGGATGTCAGAGGCTGAAGAAATAACCAGCAGCCCAGGGGGAGAGTCTCTGGGTCTTTTCCCTTATCCGGGACAGGCAAGGCAGACCGAGGGTCACAGCTCCTGCCTGGCCTCTGGTAGCCTCTGATAAGCAAAACCTTCAGTGGGAAGAGATCATTCTCCCTTTTGTCACTTACGCAGATAGAGTAAAGTGTGTGCCCTTTTCCCACTTCTGGGAGGCTAAGATTTATTAAAATCTGCAAATTGCCTCCTTCAAGAAAACATTATATAAAAGGATTAGCTTCCTGGCAGGTGTTTAGTCTGATGCGGGTTCTCAAAAGACATGAATGGGAATTTGTCCATTTTGTGTTATCCAAATGCTCTACAAAGATTAACTCATTCATCCTCATTGCCTGCTTGTGAGGGTTGTTATCCCTTTTTTTCAGCTGTGGAATTGAGACAAAGTGCTGCGCTGAGCGGCCTAGCCCGAGGCTACGCAGCTGGTGGATGGAGCCACCAGGCGCTGTGCTGGCAGGCCTCACAGGCAGGCTTCCTCTCTGAGGTAAGGGCAAGCCTTGGGCCTCTGTCGAGGTAGCTGGCACAGCCTGCAGTGAGCTGCTAGAAGCCCGGAGCCTCAGGAAGACAAAAATCCAAAACACACTAATGGCGGGTGCCAATCAACGAGAATGTGTGATAATGCAGACAGCAGCTGGGTTGAAGTTTGCCTTCCAGAGTTCTGTGATAGCCATGAAGGGACAGTCAGATTAATAGTGCTAGTGACATTGTTAAGCAGTCTGTAGGCGAGGTGTGTGCATGGCTACAGCTCTGTGATGACTTCTACACCATTGCTTTGCATTTGTACGGTGCTTTCCGGTTCTTTTTTTTTTTTTATTTTTAAAAAATGTTTATTTTTGAGACAGAGAGAGTGAGTGCATGAGCAAGGGAGGGGCAGAGAGAGAGAGGGAGACAGAGAATCCAAAGCAGGCTCTATGCTGTCAGCACAGAGCCCGATGTGGGGCTCAAACTCAAGAACTGTGAGATCAAGACCTGAGCCGAAACCATGAGTCAAACGCTTAACCAATTGAGCCACCCAGGTGCTCCAGTGCTTTCCAATTCTGAAAGCACCCTCACACGTACAATTATTTCCTCACAATTGTTCTTTGAAATAAGTAAGTAAATATTACAGGTTCAATTGTGTTCCCCACAAAATTTATACAGTGAAGCCCTAATTCCCTCAGAGGTATTCCCATACCTCAGAATGTGACCGTATGTGGAGGCAGGACCTTTAAAGAGGGTCGTGATCCAATCCAACCAGTGTTCTTATAAGAGGAGGAAATGTGGACACAGGAGGAGACAGCAGGGGGAAGCACATAGAGGGAAGGATGCCGGGAGAAGGTGGCTGTCTGCAAGCCAAGGAGAGAGGCCTGGGAAGAAACCAGATCTGCTCACTCCTTGATCTTAAACCTCCAGCCTCCAGAAGTGTGGAAAAGGTAAGTCACCCAGTCTGTGGTATTTTGTTATGGCAGCTGTAGCAAACTAATACAGTAGACTATTTTGGAATATCCTTAAACATTTTAGAAGTACTCATTCCCAATCAGAAAATGGCCATATTCATCAGAGGACTTTCACACTGTCTCAATAATAACATTAGAAATGGATCACATCGAGCTCTCACTGTGTGCCAGGCATTGTTGTAAATGTCTTACTTCATTGCATCCACCATTATTTACTTGGGGGGGGGGGCGCGCGGAGGAATAGTTTTTCCTTCCAGTAAAATTCTGCTTAATAAATGCAGAAGGAATGAGAGAAATAGAAGATTGCCATTGGGCAAACACCGCAATAATAATTGTTGCAGATGAGACCCAGTGATGGACACTCCAATTAGTGGGTGAGAGTATGATGAGAAACGGGGTGCTTGCATAGCCTCAGAGTATCTCCCCACAAGAAATTTATTAATTACAAAGGGAATAATAGTAACTTTACGGTGGAGAAGCCCCCCGGACACCACCTAATCCAAGTTACCAAGGTTAACCTCACCAATAGTCAGACATGTAGACATCATGTACCCCCAGCTATGATGCACTAAGAGGGCAGAGCATCTCATCTGGGTATCCGTGCCAAAAATGCATAACCTCCATCAACTCATGAGAAAACACGAGGGACATTTTGTAAACAACTGGCCTGCCTTTCCAGAAGTATCACAGACTGGAGGAGATGAAGAAGACATGACACTTAAATGCAGTATAAGATACTGGGCCAGAAAAGAGAAATTGGTGGCAAAACAGATGGAATTCAAATAAGGTCTGTAGGTGTAGTTAATAGTATCACACTGATGTCAATTCCTGGCTTTGATCTTTGGACTATGTTTATGTAAGATGTTAACATCAGAAGAAGCCGAGTGAAGGGTGTGTAGAAATACTCTACAAAGTTTTCAGCTTTTCTGTAATTTTAAAGTTATTTCAAACTAAAATTAAAAAAAAAATCTTCTCAAATAGGTGCTATGATCATCCTATTATTAGTAGGTGAAATAACTTGCTCAGTCACCCAGCTTATTAAGGGTGAGGCGATGATATGTATCCAGGCTGTCTCATTCGAGAGCTTATCTTAAATCCTGAAATATATCCTCTTAGCACCTCAGGGAGACAATGGAGTCTTATCTTAGTTTTAATTTTTCATATACTTGTATCAAAAATTATATATTTTTAGTGATATTCTATAGAATACTTTTTTCTTTTTTTTAAGGACTTATAATCCTTTTTTTTAAATGTTTATTTTTGAGAGACAGCAAGCGGGGGAGGGGCAGAGAGGAAGGGAGATATAGAATTTAAAGCAGGCTCCAGGCTCTGAGCTGTCAGCACAGAGCTAGACATGGGGCTTGAACTCATGGACTGTGAGATCATGACTTGAGCCAAAGTCAGATGCTCAACTGACTGAACCACCTAGGCACCCCTACAATACTTTTTTCTAAACCATTCTGCCTCCCGTTCCTCCCCATTAAGGAGATTTTGGCATAATTTTTAAGTTGGAAGAAATCAAAAGCTGGGGAGGGCACTGTACAAAATACCATTACATACATGAAGAAGAGGCCGACTCCTCAGAGAACTTACAAATAGCTGAGGCCTATGAAAGATAGACAAATCTATGGAGCGGAAAACAAGCACCAACCAAGTAGTATAGGCCCTGTGGGGCATTGGAGGACAGAAGGGAGGGAAAATGCACTTAAGCCTGATATGACTGAAAAAGGAGGAGGTGACATTTAATCTGGGCCTTCAAGAATGAGAAGGTTTGGGGGTGCCTGGCTAGCTCAGCCAGTTAAGCGCTTAAGTGTCAGACTTTGGCTCAGGTCATGATCTCACGGTTTGTGAGTTCAAGCCCGCATGGGGCTCTGTGCTGACAGCTCAGAGCCTGGAACCCGACTGGGAATCTGTATCACCTGCTCTCTGTCCCTCTCCCACTCACGCTCTATCTCTCTCCATCAAAAATAAGTAAACATTAATAATTTTTTTTTAAAAGGACACATCTCGGAAAAGAACATTACAGATAGAAGGGTGATATAAGAAAAGATAGGTGGAGGTGAGAGAGCTCAAGATTGTTGAGTAGACCAGTTAGATTGCAATTGTGGAGTTACTGCATATTTAAGAAAGACATTTTAGCAGAGATCTCAATCTCAAATGCCTTCAGGGGCCATGCAGAAATATGGAGGAAACTTGAATATCTTTAATAAGATATTAAAGAGTGGTGCGGCATCTGGAAAACTGGAGAGAGCCTGTTCCACCTAAAGTCATTGTGGATGAAGACAAAACAGCACAACCAAACAAACACTGACCTAGGCAAACACATTGCTGCTGACCAGATTCTGCCCAAGCGCTGCTGGTTGCAGCTTACTTTTTGACACCAGCGAAAGCATTCTTGGCTGTTACAATAGAGAGCATAGCTTATCAAGACAATGATGAATTGTTTGGAATTTGCACTAATAATTCTTTCTGGGTCTCAAGACTGTGTAACCAGGTGGGGCAGTTGTGTAATAATTGTTTCACGAAGAGCTCTGTAGACCTACTGCTTTATTGTTGTTGGGACACTACTGCCACCTAGTGGTCATTGGGGCTGTGCCAGCATCGACAAAAACCTTACAGAGTTGCTTTCTATATATGGTGCTTTTATCTTCAAAATGTTTGTCTTGTGACTCATGCAACAAAATACCCAAAATAAACTACATAATCCTTTATATTTTGTGGTTGCTAATAAGGTGATTTTTCACAGATGGTAAGGGTTATTGTTATATTTTCAATACTGTGACAGCGAGGGCTGTGCTTATTTATTTGGTGTCCGGTCAATAATCTTTCTGTGCCCCTGGTGTGTGCTTGTATTAATTGTATCTTTTTGGCATGGTCGTAGGAACTCAGCAAGTATCTGAGATGCTATATAGAAGGGATTAAATGTCTGAGGATGCATAAAAAAAAACAAAACACTGAAGGAAGAATCAGGAGATTTAGGTTAATTTGCAGCTGTGTGACTTTGAGCAAGTTACTTGGCCTCTCTAGGCATCAATTCTGGCTGTTAAGGAATGTGGGGTTGACGGGTGCCTGGCTGGCTCACTTGGAAGAGCGTGCAACTCTTGATCTTGGAGTCGAGAATTTGAGCCTCATGTTGGGTGCAGAGATTACTTAAATAAGTAAATAAACTTTAAAAAGTAAATAAACTTAAAAAAAAAAAAGAAAAAATGTAGGGTTGAAAAAGTTTAGCAGGTCTCCAGCCAGATCCCATGGTGGCATCCTCTGAGGAACTTCATGGGATTAAAAATTCTAATGGTTCTTTGTCCAGGGGTGGAGGTGTAGGCTAAGGGGTGGGGGTGGGGGGGGGCAAGGTGAAGCCCAGACTGCTCCAATCAGAATAGTTCTACTACAAAAAATTAATTGCAAAAAAAAAAAAAAATTAATATTGGATAGGTGATGCATGCCCATGATTCAAAATTCAAGAGGTACAAAACAGTATGTGGTGACTAGTCTTTTTACTAACCTGTCTCCAGTTCTCTACCTTAAAGGAAACCAATGTCACAATCTCTGGTCTGTTGTCCAGAGATAGACTACCCCCTCCTCCCACCATTGTCCCATCTCCTTTCTTTTATTAACACAAGTAGCAACATAGCATACACACTGTTCCACAGTGCCTTTTTTTTTCTTTTTATTTGAGAGAGAGAGAGAGAGAGAGAGAGAGAGGAGAAAGCACAAGCAGGGGAGAGGGACAGAGAGAGAGACAGAGAGGGAATCTTAAGCAGGTTCCATGCTCAGTAAGAAGCTGGATGCAGGGCTCAACCCCATGACCCTGGGATCATGATCTGAGCTGAAATCAAGAGTCAGATGCTCAACTGACTGAACCACCCAGGTGCCCCCCTAGTGCCTCTTTTAAAATCTGTTTTATGTTGGAATTTCGTTGAAATTTCACTTAGATTTCATTATACTGAGATTATCTACCTAGGAAATATTTGACGAGCTCATCTATAAATCTTCCTTTTCACTAGGGCATTTCATGACTCTTAAACCTACATTTTGATTTGATCAGAAA